GCTCCGGGACCCTGTCTGGCCTCTCGTCTGTCCACGGCTCCTTCCTCCCGGGAGACTGCTCCTGCCTCCTGGGGTTACCTCAAGGCTTGCCGAGGACTTCATGCCCGCCGCCGCGGCACGTCTGCCTAAGGTCGGGTTGCTCTCCTGCTTCCCGGGGACGCCTCAGCGCCTGCTGAGGGCTTCATGCCCGCCGCCGCGGCACGTCTGCCTGCGGCCGGGTTGCTCTCCTGCTTCCCGGGGACGCCTCAGCGCCTGCTGAGGACTTCATGCCCGCCGCCGCGGCACGTCTGCCTGCCCTGTTTGAATTCTGGGGGGGCTTGTGTGGTGACCACGTATTTAACTACTGGTTCATAATTCAAACTGGGAACTACAGTTGCGGCTATTGTTCCCGCACGGACATTTTATGTGTTACTTATATATAGTGTGTGCCCTCTTGGCTCTTTCTCTTGTCGACCCGGGCTGCGACCCGACAACATGTCCTATTCTGCTCTCTATTAAAGTACCCTTTTACATCTCCATTGCACCGCCTCCGACTCCATGTCCTCGGCACTACAATATCATGATTTCCAGCAAACATAAAATCAATACTTTAATAATGTATGAATTATATGATTCCTTAGTTGTTACTTGATGTCACCACATTTGTTATACCTGCAGGGAGCGCTTTCCATAAAAGGATTGGCAAGATATAGATGGGTGACTTGGTCCATGTGGCTTTCTGTCGTCCATCTTGGTTTTAGAGACATGTATCATGTACTTACACTGACTTGGCACTGAGTAGCAGTGTATGGGATGATGCAATAGGGTCCTATGTAGTGGCTGATGGTGCAACTATGCAAAAAAAACAACAATGCAGAAAACACCTTTTGAATAGCTGTCCACTGTAGTGACCTCTATGCATGAAAGGGTTAATGAAGCACATTAACCCGCTGCAATATAAAGTGCAGGCTACGAATTAATGCATCAATGCTTATGTACAAATCATATCCTATAAATGTTTCTGAATCAAACTATTCTGCGGAATTTATTTTGGTACTGTCAATATATTTTGAAGCTAAAACTTATGTACGAAGATCTGAGTTATTTCATCACAGATGGATTATCATACCTGTCCTGAAGGTGTAGTCGTCAGCACCACATTCTCATCACTGAGCACAACTTGAGTGATTCTGTGATGTGTCCATGGTTTTCACCTTTTTATGGCTACTAGTTGTTGGCTACTGTGATACGAATTCAAGAGGGAAAATAGACATGTAGTCCTCACGGAGTAGGTTTGATTTGCAATTGTGAGAGATATGGCTATTTTCTGATTAAAACACACGAAAACAAACTGCTTTGTACCACACAAGGCAATTGATGTAAAGCTTTTACGTCATTGATGGACGGACCATTGGACCAATCAGAGTTCAGTCTTGCCAACGTTTGGTGACGTATGATGTGCAAAGCGGAAGTACCGGTAGATGCTGTAAGCCGTGTTTTCTTCTTCTTGAATGCTACTCGTTTTGGAAAAGGTACAGTTTGTACAAATCTACAAAATGAAGTTGAACGTGTTGTAATAGTAAGCAGTAATTAAGGCCGGCTGTTAACAAGTTACATTTTGTTTATTGAAATATACTTTTGAATCCGAATATCTAACAGTATTAGCTAGCGAGCTAGGCTAACATGTGATGTTCATGTAACAGAGTTATTATTGTTGCAGCTATGTATACATTATAGAAATGACTCTTATATTGAGTTAACAAACGATCTGTTTAACCTGATGATGATTTACATTTGTCTCACTTCAGGTGTGATCATGTCAAGGCAGCCGCTGGGGAAGACACTGTTGAGAAATGTAATCCGCCACACAGATGCCCACAACAAGGTGCGTTTGAGTTCATGTGTTTCCGAGACACGTTGGAAATATGCCCTTTCATTAGGTGTACAAAGCTAGAACAGCCTTAGATTTGAAACATAATAACGTCATTATGTTGCGTTATTCCAATGTGTTTTGTATTTTATCTACCATCATTGCTATAAATAAGGGTAGACTAAGAAGCTAAATGAAGTGGTAGCTGATTGTAGAACAGGGATAGTCTCATTGCTTTGCCCTGGGGCTACTCCTGTTAAATGACAGGAGGTATGGGGCCAGTTAATACACACAAACTAATAACACCTCTGACGGGGGTATGGGGGGGGGGATCTCACCTAGCACTTTTTCTTTGTGAACAAGCTCTGTTACTCTGATATGCTTTTTGATGCAGTTTGACAACTTATCTACATTGAAAGTTATTTTCATGGTTAAATCAGTAAATGGTCATCTTTCACCGAACCGAGTAATATCAAGATTCAAGGCTTTTATTGTCATATGTACATAGCTACAGTGTAGTTATGACAATTAAATTCTTAGGTCAAAGGCTACTCCAACGGTGCAAAACAATACAACAGATAATAGTGCAAGTAAATAAAATAAAATTGAATATAATAGAAATTGTGCAGAATAGCCTATATATATCACTGGAGTAGACTATAAATTGGTTTAACATTGCAACTAAACTTACTTACCTACTTAACCCTGCTTTTGCTGGAGGCACTCTTACTTTATCTTTACATACCGTATATTTGATCTATTCCTCCATTTTATTTGCACCATTATGTCACTATGTTATTTATTTGTATGCGATAGTTGCTTTGTTTGAGAAGCCAGGGACTTAAGCTTTTAATTTCTACCTACTACGCTGTTGCTTCTGTCTGTAACAATAGAGCCTTTTATCATAGAATGTTGAATCTGTACAGTTGTTTAACTGTAATAACTTATCTTCATTATTGAATAATCTGATGTTTTATTATTCAATTAATAAATAGTTTGTTATATGAATGTAAGAGAACTGTGAAAAGGATCCATACTTATCTCGTACATTCTGTCTACAGAAGAACTCTTATCCTAGAGATGAGTTGTGTTTTTGACCTGAAGCTTTTTCTGATCCAGATTACAAATATATCATTAAGCTAAGATATAAATGTATGTTACGGATATTTGATGGCAAATTCACAAAAGAAAGGCTTCACAAACTAATTTGCATTTCAGGAATTAAGTATTTTAATCCTGTATACTCAAATGCATTTAGTGCATCTAAATAAAGCATTTATAACATGTGTTTGTCTAAGCATTATGAGTCTGGGCAATCTGTAATGTACTTACTCTTGTTGACTTGCTGCAGATCCAGGAGGAGATGGAGATGTGGAAAAAGCGAAACTATCAGGTCCACACGTCCCACAGCACACATTTTCCTGACACAAAGAGTGAGAGGTAGGAACAGTGAATGTCCCAATTTAATTTGAGACACAGAAACCCAAGTGATACCAGAGCATCATTTGGGAGTATGTTTCATAATGGAGCCCTCCGTTTAGAGACCTGTTACTGTATGTTGCTGTCTGATTTATTGATGTAATGGTTTTTCAGGGGACAAATGCACTGTGATCGAGATCAGCCCAGAGACCTGAGTCGGGGGAGCAGAGAGCGAGGCTCGGAACATGACGAAAAGGAGGCTCGATACTGGAGCCGCAAACTGTATGAGTTTGAGGCCAAAGATTCTGACAGGTACAGCACAACACTACATCTTCATCTAAACATGTTTTTTTTTTTTTTACTTCTTGGGAGAATTCTTGCTAAATACTGTTGATATTTCTGAAAGGTGAAAAGAAGAAAGTTGGTGTCCTTCTTTGTATTCTTGACAGTTTTAATTTCCCTACATGATAATGTAACATAGGGGAGTCGCACAAGATTGACAAAGCTTTATCTTATGTTTTCAAATGCCAGGTGGGGACATAGTGGCTTCAAGGAGCTTTATCCAGAGGAGTTTGAAAGGGACAGGTAAGCAAAAATGGAACTGCACTGCATCAAATAAGCAAGAGATTTAAAAATGATTCTACAACTTTATTTCAAAGGGGCCCTCTAGAGATTTGACACTGTACTTCCATAATGTTGGTGCTTATTAAATCATTTTATAACACCAGTCATCACCTCTTTGTTGTAATGAGGGCTGTGATAACTGAATATTTTCATTATCGATTCTGTGGAATACTTCAAAGAATATCATTTTGGTCAATGACTGAAATAATTAAAAATGTACGTCAAATCTCTTAAAGTCTAAGAGTACAGTGGGGCAAAAAAGTATTTAGTCAGCCACCAATTGTGCAAGTTCTCCCACTTAAAAAGATGAGAGAGGCCTGTAATTTTCATCCTAGGTATACCTCAACTATGAGAGACAAAATGGGGGGAAAGAATCCAGAAAATCACATTGTCTGATTTTTAAAGAATTTATTTGCAAATTATGGTGGAAAATAAGTATTTGGTCAATAACAAACAAACAAGATTTCTGGCTCTCACAGACCTGTAACTTCTTCTTTAAGAGCCTCCTCTGTCCTCCACTTGTTAACTGTATTAATGGCACCTGTTTGAACTCGTTATCAGTATAAAAGACACCTGTCCACAACCTCAAACAGTCACACTCCAAACTCCACTATGGCCAAGACCAAAGAGCTGTCAAAGGACACCAGAAACAAAATGGTAGACCTGCACCAGGCTGGGAAGACTGAATCTGCAATAGGTAAGCAGCTTGGTGTGAAGAAATCAACTGTGGGAGCAATTATTAGAAAATGGAAGACATACAAGACCACTGATAATCTCCTTCGATCTGGGGCTCCACGCAAGATCTCACCC